AGGTTTGGGAGGGGGGGGTCAAAAGTAAGAAATTCATAGTAGTTTTCAGATCCGTCGGGAATTACAAAAGCAAAAAAATAAGGAAAAAAAAAAAATTTTTTTTTTTAAAAACATGCTTTTCTTAATTCTACTTAATGCATGAACTAAAAAGTTGAAAATAAACTTACTTTTAAAACAATTTCTTAATGAAACTTCAAGGTTATCAAGATATTACTATAAAAGTGTATCTAAAATGTATTTGTTGCAAAATTTTTAAAACTTGTGAATTACATGCAAAAAACGAAAAGCATGGGGCACTTATGATAACTCTTATGTAAAGTCACTCTACAACTGAATCATTAGATAAACTTTATGATAAGTATTTTAAAGATTATTTATCATACTTCCAATTTTGTAAGAGATATTCTTGACTCATAGGAGCCCCATGCTTTTCGTTTTTTGTAATTCACAAGTTTTAAAAATTTTGCAACAAATACATTTTAGATACACTTTTAGTAATATCTTGATAACCTTGAAGTTTTATTAAGAAATTGTTTTAAAAGTAAGTTTATTTTCAACTTTTTAGTTCATGTATTAAGTAGAATTAAGAAAAGCATGTTTTTAAAAATTTTTTTATTTTTTTATTTTCTACTTTTTAGTGATAACAATAAATTAGAAAGTATAACTTAACGGGTATTTCACTTAGAGACCCCGGACCGAGGGATCTCAGTTTTTAAGGCCCCAGATGAATTTCCACCGTTAGGGAACCAAAGCCCCCACCCCCCACATTTTGAGTTAGCCCCGAATTTACAACGGGGTCATGTATTGTCACCGACCCTAGACCTCAATACAAAATTTGAGCCTCCTAGGTCATGTAGAAGTGATTTAAATTGAACTCGCAAGATTTGATGACAACAGAAATGAATGAAACATTGTGAGTTAAAGAAAAGCATGTAAAAAAATGAGCTATTCACCCAAAATCATGTGTGCAGAGGCGCCGACTTTTAGATATTAGCGCGGGGACAAACTCTTCTATTAAGCGAAAAAATTCTATAGTATCAGTATGCTGTAGTTTGCTTACCGGGAGGAGTAATTACAAAATTGTCCCTTAACTCTATTTTAATACTCCTCTAGGGTGCAAAATAAAATATTATGCATGTATATTATTTAAATTTTCTTTATTGCTTTTATTTTTTTTAAATTATTTACATGAAAAAGTCGAGCGATGTATAGTATTTATAGATCATATTTAGGTAATATACAAATATACAATCGTCGATGTTCTAATGAATATTTTCATGTTATAATTTGGTATTTTAACCAAATAATTATTATTGTACACAATGGGGCACGGGGGCGAAATAATACTTTTGCCCCCGTTAAATCAATGTACGCGCCTGTCGGCGCCTATGCATGTGTGCCAATGCTTAAAGCTATATAGTTAATCAAGTAGGTAGGTCAGTGGCGTCATTTCAGGTTTTGAAAGGGGGGGGCAAAAGTTTTGACCGGCCCATAATTAAAAAAAAACCGCTCTCTAACAATTACATTTTTATCTCAATACAAACAGCCTTCTTACATAGTTATATTCATATACATACAAGTTGGTTATCTGAGACAACTGTGGTTACTCTAGGCATAAATAACACACATTTTTGAAAGATAACAATGACTAATTAATACATAGGTATATAAAATATAATATGTAGAGCCGTAGAGGGATACCCAATATTACCTATTAGTATTTAGTATTAAGCATTGAGTAAACAATATATACTCATAGCTACTATATGATGACATATTTTAAGGGGAATTTTACCCCAATATTTATGTCCTATTTGCACCAAATATGAGTTTAATGGTATTAACAAAAAATAAAATAAAACATACAGATACAATACATTATTATATATTTATCATTAATTATAGTTTTTTAAAAGTTGCTTAAAATTTAAATGCTAGGCAGTGACAGGATATCTTCTTGTTTTCATAGCTCCAAACATATCAACAGCTTGATTTAAATTTATCAGTGAAGCTGTTTCCTTCTCCCAGTGTTTGTCAAGTTCCTTATAAAAAGGAATTCGTTCCGTTCCTTGTTCCTTTTTAAAAAAAAGGAATTCGTTCCGTTCCTTGTTCCTTATTAAAAAAAAAGAATTCTTTCCTTTGTCGTTCCTTTGGAAAAAGAACTAGTTCCTTTTTTAGTTCCAGATAAAATAAAAATTCTTATTTAATCATCAATTTTTTTTCTTAACAGATATACTTAGGTACTTTAATTTTTAATTATACCTATACATACCTATACAAGTAAATTTATAATTTACTATTAAGTTTAAGAAAATAATACTGACTGCAGCTTTTAGTAATCTATTTTGAGATTTTCTTTAAAATTAAATTGAAGACCAACGTATGCCAACTGCCTTATCATATTTTATTGTTGTTATAAATAATTATCATTAAAATAATATTGTAACGTCTTATTAATATAGTAAGATATTATTATACATTTTAGCTGTAGGTACTAGGTATTAAAATAGTCCCGACCCGCATAATAATTCATAAATTATTTTATTGTTCAGTCTTCAGTATTCATGCTATTTTATTTTCCGTCGACTCAACAACAAGGATTTATATTTTATATAGTAATAATGTAATAATATAATAGTATATACCCATTTCTATATATTAAGTTATAACTTATGAGTTATGACTTATGAGAAATATTAATAAAGTTACTAATGACTAATAAGTAATGAGTACCCTGTACCAGAGTACCTACCTAATGATTAATGACTAACTTTAACTATTAGTTTGATACTCGGATACTCGATAGTCGATAACAATCATAATATTGGAAATATACACACTAAGAAAAAAAATATTTGAATTTCAATTATTTATATATCTGTGTAAATTGGAACTTGAAAGGAACCAAAAATTTCGTTCTTTTTCCTTGAAAAAAAGAACTCGTTCATTTCCTCGTTCTTTTTTTATAAAAAGGAATTCGTTCAACGTGCCGTTCCTTAAAAAAGGAATTCGTTCCAGGAATCCGTTCCTTTTGGAACTCGTTCCTTCCAAACACTGCCTTCTCCACAGCTATCACTAATAAATCACTCAAGGGGGGTTCACACTACACCGTGTCGTGTAAAATAATCACGGTTACCACAGTTACCAAACGATACCGCATAGTTGAATATATTCAACTTTTGACCGTGTGGTTACATTTATGTGCAGATAAAGCCGGGTTCATACTTAATGTAACCACACGGTCAAAAGTTGAATATATTCAACTATGCGGTATCGTTTGGTAACTGAGGTAACCGTGATTATATTACACGACACGGTGTAGTGTGAACCCGCCTTTAGTCGTTCATCGCCCATTGTTAATCTTAAATGCTTTTTAACAAGCTTAAAACGTGGTCGCGGTCTTGTAAGTAAGAGAGAGAAGGCAGTTTCTCATTCTCGCAAGTGGCGATTTTGTTAGGTTATGTTCAAATATAAAAATTAAAATAGATAAAATCCATTGTTTTGTTCTTAAACCGGCCCGTTGGTAGGCCGCCAGCGGCCCGCTGATGACAAGGGGGGGGGGGGCAAATGCCCACCTTGCCACCCCACAAATGACGCCACTGAGGTAGGTACTAGCATGCACTGAAAACAATTAATTTATTGATCATTTTCATTTATATTTCAACAACCATAATGGTAGAACAATTATGAATAAAGAAATTATTGTGTAGGTACAAATTCTGCTTAATATAGGTATTTTTTTGTGGTATAATATTTTGTTTAGTGCTTAATATGCATTATAATAATGTTTAGCCAACCCAAAATATGACGGTAGATGGTAAGTAATAATCAATTTCTTCAACTTATAATGGGACTTCGATATCTATTATTTATTATTACTTATATTCTGTGGTATTATATATAGATTTATGTGATTAAGAAATAGCAGGATGTCAGCCGTGCACTATTTGTTTTCTCTCCCTGATCCACGAGTAACATCCCAAATTTACATTTAGCAGAGGCGCAGAGCCCATGGCTGTGTTATTACCACGGTCTTTTAATATTAGAGTGAATTCACCCATTATCAAACTTTAAGTTAAGAACATTACCTGATGTTTTAATTTGTAAGTAAGTTATGAGAGTGAAAATAATTACAATATTTTAAAGCTTATAAATTGTATAGAAATTTAAATTTAAAATATCTAAAAAATTTAAAGCTAACGCAGGGACAAAGGCAATATTCTTAGCTTACAGTTGGATAATATGCGAATTCACTCTGATATTCAAAGTAACAACTAGAAAACAGGGTTAGTTCTGCTAAACATACATTTGCTATGTTGCGCGTCAGAGAGAGTAAACCATGTGCGCTGTCAATTGTTATCCTCTTAATTTATTTGAAACATTTGAGATTTCATAGACCTTATAATAATAGAGGGAACATACCGGGTTGGCGGGGTAGAGTGGTATGAATAATGAGTATATTATTCTATATAATTGTAAATTGAGTATAAGGTATATGATTAATTTATATTACTCTATAGATAATATAAATTAGATTAGATTAGATAGAGTATTGATATATTTTCTTTTTTTTTGCCTTTCTAGTTAGTTTTATTTGTATTGTTATCACTTTTTCTATTAGTTTCATATTAATATATTATGTGCCAATTATTATGTAATGTTTTTTTTCTTGTAAAAAGGCTTTTGCCCGTTGATTATTAATTAATAAATAAATAAATAAATAATTTTCAAGGTTAGTTAGATGTTGATACCTGTTATCATTCATCGACCATCTTTCAAAATAATCTAAGACCATGGTTCAATGGTTGTCGTTATCTACTTCATAGTTCATACTTCGTTACTTGTCACTTCAACTCACTTGTCAGTTGCGACTTGCGATGCAATGTGACGGTTTTCCTTGTTTTAATTTATATTACCATTTTTTAATTGTTTTTATTTACAACTCCAATTTTGGAATATTTTCAATCCATCTAGAAGACAGTCTTAAATTTTTGTAAAAAATGGTTGTACTTCCGTATTGTTATGTCCGCTGCTGTAAGGCTTTAAGCAAAAATCCGAATTATACCAAGACAATCCACCGGTCGTTTTACAAGTAAAGAAATAAATTAACAATGATTATAATATTATGCTTGGTATTATTTTAATTGAATTTATTATAGGAATTTTGTAAACAATGATGATACGTTTCTTAGTCGTTTAAAAAACATTTACAAATCGAAACTCTTACCTCTCGAAAAAAAATATTTGTTTCATGAGTTTCATTTGCCAGCATTAACCGATCAAGATTTTGATGCAAAGCCCATGGTACTATTTGTCGGTCAATATTCTACTGGAAAAACATCAATGATAAAGTAAATAAAATGTTTTTAAAATCTATGCTCAGACATTAAAAAATATGTATTGATTTATTTTTTCTTTAAATTTTTTGTTTTAGATATCTAATTGAAAAAGACTATCCTGGAATTCGTATAGGCCCAGAACCAACTACAGATAAATTTATGGTGGTCATGGGTGGTGATAATGAACAGTCTATACCTGGTAATGCTCTTGTAGCTGACCCATCTAAAAATTTTTCTGACTTGTCACGGTTTGGAAATAAGTTCTTAAAGAAACTTAGTTGTGGAATCGTGAATACTCCGTTATTGAAATCTATCACATTTGTTGATACTCCTGGTATATTATCGGGAGAAAAACAAAGAGCACAACGAGAGTATAGTTTTAATGACACTTTAAATTGGTTTGCTGAGCGGGCAGATATGATAGTATTGACTTTTGATGCTAATAAATTGGATATCTCAGATGAATTGAAAGCAGCCATTGACGTATTAAAAGACCACGATAGCAAATTAAGAATTATTTTAAATAAAGCAGATACAATTGAGTAAGTTTTGAACTAGGTTGAATTGAATACTGTATTTTTAGATAAAAACCACTATAATTCAAATAATTACTCGTTCTCTGAACTTAAATGAAAACATTTAAAGTTAAAGTACTTGACTGTGATTGAATTTGAATTTAAATGCATACAAACATGGAATTACATATTGGTAAGATATACCCAATACCCATTGTATAGCTGTATAAATTATGGATACAAAAAAATATTTAGTTCATACAAATTGTAATTTATTCTTTACTAATATTTAGAAATATGATTTGTATGTTGTTACATCTTTTTACTAAGTAATGAAGTATCATTTAGGTGAGATTTAAAAACATACTTACAACATTTTATTTTGCATAAAAATGCATATTTAGATGTTTGAGAATATTTCATACATAATGATATATTTTTGAAATATTTTTTCTATTTTAATAATAAATAACAAGGCACATTAAAAAAAAATAGTATATATTATGAAATAGACATGTTTCAATACACCGCTGGTATTATCAGTATTATCATTTTTTTTCTGTAAAAACTGTTTAATTTAGAACATAATATAGAGATGCTATATTATCATAAATTGATTTCATTTTTTTATGAAACATGTTTGTTTTGGTTGTTAATTTTTTATTTTGATTCGTTACATTTTTTTTACACATTTAACACATTAAAAAGTTTATTTAAATTGTTATCCTTGTAGTTCTATTAATTTTTTTTTGTAAAACATATTTAAGGGTTGAACTGTTAATGAATATTTAGAGAATATTTGAGGTACTTCAGGGTTGTCTTGGCTGCCGGAATATTTCCAAGACTACCTGTTATCATCTACTGGGCTAACTTAAATACCACAATTTTAAAATAATAAGTATTTATTCGTTATATATTTTTGAAATTTAGTTTATGTTCAGTTATTACATTTATTTGGTAGGTCACAAAAAAATATTTTATATTTATTAGATATTATAGGTGTTATCACATTATTATTCAATAATAAACAAATTGTAAGTACATTTCTTACAATTTGTTTAATAAACAATGGTTTTTGATCTGTAAAATATATAATTTGCCTTGTATAGGTATAACAATCTTAATTTTAAAATGTTAAATGGTTAGATAAGATTTATTAATATTTATAATATCTTAAATTTATTTTAATAATAATTAGGTATTAATATTGTTAAGAGCAAGACAGAGTTTAGATATCATCTATGTTGTGTTCTGAAACATATTAGTTTAATAACAATTTATTCAATATACCTAATTTATCATTTATTTATTTTTGTACTAAACAATTAGAATCGGTGTTGATTATTTTTTTTTTTTTATATAGTGCAAGAGCATTGCTAAGAGTTCATGGTGCACTCATGTGGGCTCTCGGAAAAACCATTAACTGTCCAGAAGTTCCTAGAGTGTATGTTGGTTCATTTTGGGATCAACCTTTTAAAAATGATATTAATCGGATGTAAGTTTATATAAAGTTAATTTACTATAAAATTGCCAATTATGAAGGAAAATGAAATAAATATCTAAAATTAATAAATTTTAGCTGCCTACCTGAATTTTGGATTAGTTGTTCATTCATAATTTTTAAATTTTTATTGTTAGAATATTTTAAATATTTGCACTGTTTAGTGAATACTGGTTACTGATATAAAAATTTGATAACATTTTATAGAGGAGGATATTTTTCAAAAGTATAAGCTTGTATTTAAAAAAATATGATTGGTTGTTCAGCAATCAAAAATTAATACTGGAATTAAGATAATATTATACATACTGTATTGTAATCTAATCTTTGTTTGCTAAATCAGTTTTGTTTAAAGCTTTTACTTATTACAGCTTATAATATTTAAGTATACAAGTAATTTATTGAAAAATGTTGTCATAATATAATTTATGTATTTATTCAAATTATTCCTAATAATTGAAAAATTAAGAAGTAATGATTGATTTATGCTTATAATTAGAGCGCGGATTTTTATGCACTAAAAATTATTGAAATATGTCATATAATATGCAGTAAAAATAATGAAAATATGCAAACTAGTATGTAAAGTTGATGTCAAGTCATATTTTAGTTTCCATTTTTTTTATGACTAAAACTTTTTAGTATTTACCGACTGGCACAGCAAAAGCGATTAAGACATTAACTTTACGTCGTAATCGATTATTTATTTTATCCTTATATGAATTATTATTAAGTGCTTGTAAAATTTAGTTTTAATATTTCTACTTGACAAAATATTATTTTTTGAATTTTTTTTAAATTTTCGCTTCAATATGCAATAAATTTTGAATTTTGCTAAAATATGCAAAAATATGCAATAACATTTAAATATGCAGAAATACGTAAAAACAAATGTCACCATTAGTTTCAAATTATGATGATTCGTGGAGATAACTGACAAAAATCTAAAAATATAAAAAAGAAAAATATGCAATTGCATAGAAATCCGCTCTCTACTTATAATAATTTTGTATGCTTACATTTTAATGTTTAAACTAGTATTTTGTATGTTTAGTATGTTTAACGAAGAAGAAAATGACTTATTTCAAGATATGAAATGTCTTCCCCACAATTCAGTCATATCCAAATTGAATAATATTGGAAAGAGAGCAAACACAGCAATTGTAAGTATTATTATTTATTAGTATATTATACTGTATGCAGTATAAAAAAAAATATAGTTTTATGGGATGCAAATTATGAGAAAATGAATAAGTAACTTAATTTATTATTCTTAATTTTAAAACCCTGTTTAAGGTACATGCATATATAATAAGCGAGCTTAAATCACGTTTACCACTCTTATCAAGGATTATAAATAAAACTTATCATCAAAATGAGTTAATAAATAATTTGGAAAATGTCTATTGTGATATCCAAAATAAGTACAAAAACCTTAGTGTAGGTGATTTTCCAGATGTTGAAAATATGAAGGTTCAAATAATACTTATTAATAATAATACTAATTCTAAAAAATATCATATTATAATATTTTTTCTTTTTTTTTATAATCTAATAGGCAATGTTAAAAGAAAAAGATTTTTCTTCTTTCAACTCTTTAGATCAAAAATTAATCGATCGTGCATCAAATTTAATGGATGGATTCAGTATGGAAATGGCAATGAATGATGTAGAAGTGCAAAGTATGTTTTCATTTGATTCAAGTTATATTTTATATTAATATCAACAACTAAGAATACTTAGATACTTAATAATTAAAATTGGGCACAGAAGGTATCTAATACAAACATAAATTACTAAGAATAGTTACATAAAAAATAGCAATTATTTCTTTTGATAGTAACTTGTATATTAAAAATACATTCAATTATTTTTAAGCATCTAAAATATTTAAACCAATAATTTATTTAGTCATTGATTGATTATGATTAATTATGATTACTTAATCCAAAGCCGTATTAGGAAATTCCATGTTTATAGACAACAATATTTTATTTTCGTCCCAAGTGTCAAAAGAGAGATGGTAAAAAATGTATACAGATCTAAATTTGGAGGTTGGATAGTGAAATTGTACAGAAAATGAGAAATCTCATTTCTCTGGATATGATCAACATTCAAATAGTCAATACTTTATAAATATAACTGATTCTTTCTTGTCTGTTTAATATGTGTGTTTCACAATGTTGAATAATATAATATACCTAATCATTATTTTTAGTAACAATAATAATAATTATTTAGTATTTATTTCATACATTATTCATTCATATTTTGTCGCCTTTGACCCTCATACTACTTAGGACACCATGGAGGATACACTACGTCAATCTTAGCTTCTCGTATTTCCTTATCCTAATTCATAGGTGTTTTTAAATTATTAGGTGGGTACTCACTATAACTAACATAAATTTAGGGTTAGATGCACATATTGTTGCATACAGGGGCGTATTTAGATATTTTTTTTTGGGGTGCTGTGGTATTTCTCCAACTGAAATTCCCTAATTCAGCCTATTAAAAATAAGAGTTAGAAAATTAGTACTCAATTTTAATTTTTTTCATGATTTTTAATGTTTTCAAAAAATTAATAATGAAATAATGTATAATAATAATAATAATAATACGATATTAATATAACAAATCAAATCAAATTTAAATTTCTTTCTTTGCCACTGTTAGCAAATTTATCTAATAAAATGTCATCTGGTATGTCAATGTCTCTATGAATAGCTAAAAGGGCAAGTCCCACTAGTCTGGATTCTGAAGTTGTATTTCTTAAATACGTTTTGAGTCTTCTCAACGTCGAAAAGCTACGCTCAGCTGTAGCGGTGGATACTGGTATTATATAGCTAGTATTTTTAATAATTCATACATATTTGGATACATTAAATTATCACAGACACTCAAAGCCTCTATAGCAGTTGTGGGCCTTAAGTTGTCTTCAATATTCTTCCACTTAGCTTGCCAAATTTCGTACTCTGCTTCTATAACGTCATTTAGCCCCGGTAAATCATTTGCATAAAATTCAACAGCTTTTTTTAAATAAATTGAACTTTTACGATTTTACATCTAGTAGAACATAATAAGTAGACTTAATAAACAATTCCTAGATTTCGGGGGGGGCTGAAGCCCCCTCAGCCACCCCCATAAATACGCCCCTGGTTGCATATATACCAGGGATTCTTTGATATTTTAATCTCAATAAAGCTAAATATTGTTAATACTTAATACTTATCATATAATTATATTTATATCTTACAGGTAATATTATTCCAAGTAAAAATGATATTTCAACTCCTTTTAATGCAACAACTGAAGGAATTGATGAAGGCAAATTTGACCAAAGATGGATTGTTGATTATTACAGGGAACCTTTTGACAAAATTTTTAATAATCTGGTAAAGAATGATGGCAAAGTAGTTCGTACGGGTAAGTAGATGGCTTTATTGTATACTAATTACTAATATAACATTTTAGTTCCCCAAATTATCAGTGTTCACAAAGTTCATTTGAAAATTTAAATTGTTAACACTCACTTTGTTTTATAAAAAAACACGTTCATTTTCACATTGTTAAAATAATATAATATAAACTCATTTATCTGGTTGTACATTTTTATTATTTATTTTATAAATCTTATAATAAAACTTTGAGTATGATACAAATAATTTAGAAGACATTATATCCACATACTATGTTGTCTCTATCTTATAAATACACAACATAGTAAGTTTAAGAACAGCAGATCCAATTTTGTGTTGTATCATTTGAAATTTTAATATTTTAATTTTAATTTTAATATAATAAATTACTATTTACGTATAACTATTGATTATAGAATAGTCTATTCTATAATCAATGCTGTAACATATTATTGATAATAATAAAAAGATATATTCATAAGAAATTTAATTTGATCAACCTAAAAATAATTCAAGTTCCATAAAAAAATATATTTTCTGTTCCCGATTTATTTGATAATATTAAGTGAGCGATGTTCTTTTCAAGCACCGCAAATGGCGGTTTTAGTTAATTCAGTATTAAAATTATTGCTTTTGTTATTTGTCATAATTTAAGCTCTATAAAAAGTACTTTATAATCTATTTTTTTTATTTAGCTGCTAAAGAAGAATTTCTACAGTCAAAATTACCAGATTCAGTACTATCCAAAATATGGAAATTAGCTGACCAAGATGGAGATGGTCTTTTGGATTCTGACGAATTTGCTTTAGCTATGTATTTAATCAAGATTAAATTAGAGGGTTCGGAATTGCCTGACACTTTACCAAAACATTTGATACCCCCATCAAAAACTAATAATTCTTTAAATATCATTCCTAAAGATTTAGGCCCTTGAAACGGCCTACTGTATAAAAAATTGAATTATTTCATCCCTGTGATAATATTTATTATAAAACATTATTTTAATACTAGCTGAAAACTATTTCATATGTTAATATTGATGTATCATACAATTGATATTCAACAACAAATATTATAACAATGTGTGTATGTTTAAATTAATTGTTATAAAATACATCATAAATTCACAACATAGTAAAAACATGTTACCAAATTACGGGATTCAAATAAAATGGTATTTGATTATGATAAAATAACTATAAAATATATTTTTTTATGAACTGTTCATATTTGACTACGTCTATCAATTAGTTTTTGTGTGTGTGTATTGCACTATAAAATGTATATTTTTTTAAATAAAATGTTTTGGTAAAATAATACAAATGTAAATACGTTTTTTCTATTAAAATTTTCCATTTTTCTATTTGATTGAGGAGAGTGGTTTGTTTTGTGCCTTTAACTATAAATATAAAAATAACAGATTATCTTAAATTTGCACATACAACCAATGAGGTATTAACTAACAATTATTAAGTATAGTATTGTGAGGATAGCCCCTCCCTCCTTTGTTCTAGAAATGGTTGTAAAACTTCTAGAAAAGTGTATCCGGTTTATAGATTTTAGACTGGGTGGAATGATGAATTATATTATATTGTTTTTACAATAATTTGTGTGTAAACACGAGTCACGCCTTATAGAAGAAAATGCTTTGCAACTTAATATATTTTTTGGTTTTAAAGTGAATCTAGTTAGTACTTTTGAAAATTACAAGAAAAAATGTAAAAACAAAATTTTTGTTGCAAAACCAGTTTTGAGAAAATTAATTTCCTTATTTTGTTGTAATTCAAAAACGAAATACCGTAGAACATGAAATAAATATCAAAATATTTTTACTTTTTTTTTAACTATTATTATAGATGACATGTGAAATTTTAATTTTTTTTTCAACCTTTGATTATAAAAAAGTTTTTGCTTAGACAAAAAATTTAAAAATGTAATACAATGTTCGTAATAAGTTGTTATAACGCAATTCAATACATTTTTTTCTTAAGTTCAAATTTTCATAATATATGCTTATAATACGAAAAACATTTTAAAATTATTTTGTAGTTAAAAATGTACAAGCACACAAATTAACTAACCCTTGTAGATATTTGTTGTTTTCAAAAAAAAATTAAATATTGTTCTATTAAAAATATAATTTTCCGATTTTCAGCAAATATTCTTATAACAAACGAAACGTCATTAAAACCAACATTACACAAGTATCTGAGTGATACAATGATGAGGCCTATTTAGTATTTAGCCTATATATTATTTTTAAGACGAAATAAAATTTTCATTATCACTATGAAGTATGATTTCTATATATTTATCGGCCTTTAGTAGTTATTGCTTTGTTGAATTAATGCACAATACTGTTTGGGGTAATATTAAGGCGTAACTCAATGATAACACTAGGGCAGGGGTCGGCAATCTTTTGACCTACTCGGGCCATATTTTTTTTCAAATGTTCATCAAGGGCCACATTAAAAAAAAAAATTACATATGATGTATACAATACTAATAATTGTAGGTATTGCTATTAAATTTGATTATTTTACATAGAAATATGAGTGTAAAAAAATACAAATGTTACTGGAAAAAAAATACTTTTGAGAAAGGCCTCATATAAAAAAATGTACGTATTATGATATAATACTAATAATTGTATTTCTATTATATTTGATTATTTCACATAGAAATATGAGTGTAATAAAATAAAAATGTTACTGGAAAAAATTGAATAAAAAAACACTAAGTAACTATGAGTAGTGCAGCCATCATTATCTTCGACTCCGATTAGATAATATGTAATAACAATTTTATAGATTAAACTGAATATATAACTATATAGAATAAACCACTATTATTAACGGTTAGATTAGATTTTATTGAACAAAAATAAAAAACAAAAATTAACCACCGCTTTTTGTCCAACTTTTTTCATAACGGGCTTTTTGTCCGGGATTCATAGTTAGTATAGAAGTCTGTGCTCCACCACCCCCCGCCCCCGCACAATGTGAATGCCGCAATAATTATCTTCGATTTATTTTAGTAGGTATTACTTTATTTGCGCGGTGTGCCATAATAATATCCCTGACCGGCACTGTAATTAAACCGTGTAAGCTGAATTATTGAAACAGTTAACGCGAGCACATTAAAGTGATGATATAGGCAAAGCGTCATTATTATTACACAGTTTGTAATCATTTTTCGTAAATCGTAATGCGACAGTGCGACACTGAATAATGTTTATTTCGTATAGAACAATCGAATGCAAGTATGACGTGCGCATGGGCGTAAAATTCTGGGGGGGGGGGCAAATCTCACCTTACAAAACTATTTATTTAAAATAACCCATAGAGGGCTTATATCTAAATCAAGGGATATTTTTGAGGGGGGCTATAAATGATTTTATTAATAATGTGTTTTTTCAAAAAATTAAATTTTAAAATGCATAACTAATTTAACTTAATTGATGGGTCCTTGAGGGGAGGGGAGTAAGTTAGTATGTACCTCGGACTTAGATATAATAACCATCCTTTTCACCTTCACCCCCAGTCTAATCGATGCCAATCTATTTATATATTATAAGTCCCCGAATCCGCAATTATTAAATATTAATTTGAGGTTGTAACTACGATTATCTGGACTCAGTGGCGTATTTAGGGGGGAGGCCCCCTAGGCCAGGGCCCATACTGAAATGGCAGGTTCAATTAAAGTATTTCATGTATATCTACATTGTACACTGCTTACAGTTTCTACCATGATTAATTTAGCCGGTTGATTAAAATCGTTTTTGAGAAATCCACAAGGAAATGATTGTCAGGACTTGCTTTGATGACTTTGATGTTAAATTCACAGTTAGATAACATAAAAATATATATATATATATATGAAATTGTCAATATTTTTCAAAAAAGAATTAAAAAATTAATTTTACATAATTATAAAATGAAATTGCTCAATTTTTATTTATATTGTGTATGTCGTAATTTTAACCACCCAGCTCCCTAAAATATGTATATTTGACAAAATGGGTCCATAGTGAAAATATTTTGTTTATACGCCACTGTCTGGACTCGGTAGATAATATTATGTTCGATATCGGTTGTTATTGTGCCAATGACATTATACAAATAGGCGTGTAATCATCTACAACAACCGAAACCAAACAGAGTAAAATGCCCACGTTGCGATTTTACCCCCTTCCCCAGATGACGGTCGGCCGTCACCGACGCTGTCGACACCCTGAACGTGTCTGGTAAATGGTAATAGATAACAGTCGGTTCCAGTGAGCGGACCAGTTCACGTCTCACATCATTTTACTACGAAACCTCGTTAGTGAACCCTCACTTGTTGAATGTGAGAATACCAGTCCACCGCATAATAAAGTATGTTAGTCTAACCATTACACATTTTAACGGTTTTTAATTTGTTTTTGATTATTTTAACAATTTTCAAAATCTAAAATGAACCATGAGAATAAAGATCCGTCAAGAATTTATGTTGCAAAAAATCCAATAGGAAAGGTAAAAATATTTTGAATATTATTAAGTATACCTACAACTTACCTAGGTTTTTGTGAGGCACGCATCAGGGGCGGAGTGGCTCCAAAATTCTTGCCGGGCAAACCGATATTTTCAGGCCACTTTTTAATATGAGCCCTATGTACATTGACATAATACGTTTTTTTTTGGAATGCGTTTATATAATTGCTTATGTCCAATCAATGTACACAAAACACTGATCAGTGATCACTCATCACATATGTCTTCTTATATTGTTTTCAGTTTCACAGTAAACTATTATAATATTATAGGTCCTTATACTAATATATTAATTAACAATGAACACATTTTTATATTTTTTTTAGTGAATTATGTTTTTGCCACCGATCTTTTGGAATTTTTTAACTAAATGTTATTAGTTTTATTTGATTTTAGCTGTAAATAATCTACAAATTATACCGTATAAGGTTTAAGGTTTCAAAATGATAACAAATACTTATCATTGTTTAGCATGTCCTCTTATTTAATATAAAACAGAACTTATACTTATTAAGAATCAATTACACACATTTTTAACAAATAATATTTATTAATGTAATTACAATAATAATTTGCTTAAAAGATTACTTTTAGTACCCAGTTCATTTATTATAATATCATTATCTATTTCTGTTAGAATTGATTTTTCTATAGACATCAACATAAATGCTTCTAGATTATCGTTTGTCATTGAATTTCTCAATCTATTTTTTAAATATTTAAGGGTAGAAAAAGATCTTTCACAAGAAACTTGAGTTACTGGCAAAGTCAACAGATATTTATATGCTAAAGTTAATAAACTATAATATGCACTAGAAAATAAGTAGAACAAAGATGGAACATTGATCCATGACTGATATATCCTGTGTTGTATCTAATAACACTGAGAACATATTTGCTTCTTTTATTTTTTTTGATATTGTTGATTTAATCAAATTAGAAATTATGTTGATAATATTATCTGTAGTATAATGACTAAGAAAAGTTACTAAATTACCACGACCTTTGGAATTACGATTATGTTGATTTTCACTTTTCTTTTTAACTGAATTTAAATGTTCATTTAAGACAACATAATATTTGCTGAGCAAAATTATGAGTTCAAGAAAATTGCCATGATCCACAGACTCGTTATTCAGCAGATAGGCAGCTTCATTTCTTTTCCCTCTTATACTAAGACCACATTTTCCGATTAATTTTATTACATTTATAATTTGGTCAAGTACTTGACGACATTTTTTTACTTCTTCTCTTTGTAAACGATTTTGATTGTCAAACAATAAGTTTCCAATATCTTTTTTTTGAAAATGTAAAAAGTAAGCTTCTGATTATGATTTTTACTATTTTCGTGTTCTTTTATACGCTGGTGTACATGTCTCCAATCATTTAAACCCGTAGTAAATGAATTCATTTTAGTAGTGAATGCCAAACAAACTGAACAGTATAATTTATTTGCTTGAACATCATAAGTACACCAAATTCTATTCATATTATTATATTTAAAAAAAACTTTTTTATAATTAAATGGAAGAAAAGTTGCATTGTCTAAAGGTTGAATAGGATGGACACTAAAAAAATGATTAATGTGGAGAGGAATTGGTTTTTTAAAATTCTTAAATCCTTGCTCTTCAAATTGAATTCCAGTATCATTATTATTTTTGTTTATAACACATAGTGCAGAACTTGGTTCAATTTCGTTGTTCAAACCTAAATTACCTAATAATAAAAGTAATCAAGTGTTAATGAAAAAAATTGGTATCTTATTTTTAGCCTTATAAGCAATGTTTATATTATTAATTATTAAACTGATTTGGTTGAACATAAACCAATTTCAGAAATAATAGATTATACAACATGACATGTCATAAAAGGGAATTAAATACTAAGGAATTTAATAAAATTTACAGAAACATTATCAAAATATAAAATTCTTAACAACACAATTATACAAATTATATAAAAAAAAATATTAATTAATATTGTATTGACACATTATGACTGCAAATTTAACAATTAGGTACCTATTTAACAAACAATTTGGTTTTAGTATTTAAGTAATAATTCTAAAATAGTAAAATATAAATAATAACTCTTTTAGTAAAATCAACTTAACCTACTTTGAACTTATTTGACAATATTTAGATCTGTAGAGCT